CACGGTGCATGTGCAGAGCAATGCTGGGTGTGATTGCAGTGACCGACCCATCCAGCACAACACTGACGCACCCGGGACACAACAGAGGCTGGGGCTTCTGGAGACCCCAAACCAGCTTATTCTTTAAAAAAAAAAGCATACAGAAAGTCATGTCCCTGGCATTTTTCACGTGGACTAACTTGGCAAACTCCATGATGTTTGGCACTGCTGGTAGTTCTACTATGGCCTGATGTGTTTTGATGTTCTGACTCCAACCAGCCGGTGCATGCTCCAGGAGAGCATTACCTGCAGGAGCAGGCGGCTGAGGACAGGGATGGACCATGCTCACTCATTCATCTTCCCCAGGGGCTGAAAAAAGCAGGGTTGTGCTGCTGAAAGGCTGCAAGAGGAGGGAGCCCTGCAGGCTAAGGCCTCTCCAGAGCCAGAAGCTTCTGGCATGGCGTGGGGCAGTGAGATGGGAGCTCTGCACTGAGCAGTGTCTGTGCTCTCCTGCAAATCCTCCTCCCACACCGAGCCAGCCCTGTGACTCGGAGCAGACTTCAGACAGAGACACAGCAGCCCACTGGGAAAAGGAGGGGTGGAAATAAAAATGAAAATAGAAATGTTCTATCACCCTTGCAGTGCTGGTACTGTGCTCCAGTGGGTACAGACATGGACACGAGGCAACCCAGTGTGTGTCAGCCATGTGTGGCCACAGGGAGCACACAGCCAGACAATGTCCATGCTGGGACATTCACAAACCCACACTCCAAGGGGAAGCAGGGGGAGGGAGGTCAGGAGGGGGGGGGCGGAAGTAATTAATGCAAATTCCTAGTTTAGGTAAACACATCTAGAGAAAGACTCGCTCTGGCACGGGGAATTAATATCCTGTTAAACCAGTTGAAAAGGTCACCAGTAAACAAGAGACACTCCCAACACTCCCTCGTGCCAGGGCTGATAGGACACCAAGACAAACGGCTGAGAGCAGGGACTGGGGACGCTGCAGCATCCGCCTGCCAGCTTGCAGCTGCAGCCAGCTCGTGTTCTCTGCAGCCACGCTCTCTCCACAGCACTTCTGCACCAACAGCAGCAGCCCTGGGCCTTGGGAAGGCTGCTTTGCTGCCTTCACACAGCCCCAGGGAGGACTGGCCAGCACACAAAAGCAGCCAGGGGTGTTGGGCTAATGTCAGGTTGGTCAAGGTCACAGCCCTGCTGGGGATCCCTGCCTCCAGGCTGGGGATCATTTAGAGAGTGGGTTGTATAAATTAAGAGATAAGAAAGGAGATGTACACTGGCTCCTTCAGTATGGGGGCCCACCTGCCCTGGGGAGTCCACCCTTGGCACATGCCTGTGCTGCTGCTGGCACAGACATTCCAGAACAAGACCTTTAAAAGGACATGCTGGGACTGAAAGTCTCCAGGTGATGCTCCCACAGCAAGAGAGAAAAAAAGATACAACAAGATTACTCAGGATACAGCATTCGACTTCATTTTCAATGGAAAACCTGAAGCACAGAGGAGCTGCTGGCAACTGATCTCTGCAGGCACAGAAGTGCAACTCAGGCTGCAGAGGTGTGAAGAAAAGGTGAGAGCTGCCAAGAGAACAGCAAGGGGGAGCACCAGGGCTGAGACAGCCTTGAGTCAAAATGCACTGAGAGTGAGCCACAGACCACATGTGGAGCTCTGCACCCTGGGGCCTGGGTCTTCTTCTAAGAGTGCAGAGCCTCTGGGATGCTTTCCCTTCCTTCCCAACAGGGAAACTCAGCTTCTTTCCCAGGAGATTCAGGAACAGAAACCACCAGGGCTGCATGCATTTCCCAAGGCCCACAGCGAAGAGAACTTAAGGAGAATAGCAAGATAAGCTGTGTGTTTTGCACAGTCCAGACAGACTTCAGCTGCATTTGTCTCAATCCACATGGAGAACTTTGTACAGTGCTCAAAATGCCATTTTCTGGTGTCCAGCCCCAAGATAAGCCTTGCTGTTAAGTCGTGTGTGAAATGGAACTGCTGGAACAGTGTGTTTCTCACAAGTGCTGGTGGGGCTAAGCACAAGAAAGGACAGAATGCCCCAGAGGAGCTTGGTACATGTGAGTTCTCTCTTAAAGACAAAAAAATCTAGTTTTCCTTCCTGGACACACCTGGGCTGCACTGCACAGAGAGTGCTCACAGCAGGGCAGGATCCCTTAGCAGGTGCTGGATAGATCAGGCACGGCCTGATCAGGAAGGTGTTACCCCTTGTCCTCAATCAGACTGAGGAATGCTGTTCTCTACAAACACCCAGTGATTGCAGCCCTGGTATCTCCTGCCTAAGCCCTGGAGGGAAAGGCAGCCCAGCTCCCTGGCACTGCATGCCATGTGTTTCCACAGAATGCACTGGTCAGTGCCAGGCACTGCTGTGGGATCAGGCTCCCAGGAAACCCCACTGAACACAAGGTTGTAAGGACTGCAAGGGACTGCAAGGCAAGGGCTTACCCAGCAGAGCCTGGAAGAGTTCACTTTGGAAGATGTGCGAAACTTTTCCAATGGAAGCTTTTAACTCCTGCTCCTCCGGGGACCGCAGGGTGCTTTGGTATCTGGTCAGAATTTCCACTGCCCGTTCAGTGTCTGCAGAGATGACACAGGAGTAACAAGGCATTAACATTGTAGGACGCTAAGGGAAGGCTTGAGTTCAGCCTGGGATAATGCCTCAAGCTGCCTTCCAGTCTGGATTTTTAAAAGTCAGACAGCCACAAAAGCAGCCTTCCTTACACACACTTGGGAAAGCTAACCCTGCTGAGAGCCACTGAGGGCCCACAGCAGAGACCTGGGCAGGGACTGGAGGAGAGGCAGTTCTGCCACTAACCCTGCAAATCAGGGGCTAAAATCAGATTGCCTCAACTCTTAACCCTGTGGCACTGGGCAGCCTGAACACCTCTGCCACCACCCAGGCACAGAAGCTGTTCAGGAGCTGGACACATTCTGGTTGCACAGGGCTATGAATACCACTGCAGGAACTGCAGCCTCCCACATAGGGCCAGATGGCTGCAGCAGAGCTGAGCGTAGGCCCATTCACGTAGTGCAAACAGCTCAGCTACAGGAGTGGCAAAACTTGGGCTGCCACAGGGTGAAGCATAAGAATTGCTCAAAGCAGCAAGCAGGCGCGGGTCAGCAGGAGACAAGTGGGAAAGGAACACGATGCCTTGGGGTCAGAGGAGATGTTGGTGAGGAGGGGAGCTGGAGGCTGCCATGAAGCAACATTTTGGTTAATGACTGGGCTAGACACAGCTATGAGAAAACCCTGGACCTAAAATATTGGAGCTGTGATCTCCCTGCCTGGACACCTCCACACTTCTCTGGGCAGACAGCCAGACCTCAGATGTGACCCATGTCTCAGGCAGGTGGTGAGCTCCTGTGGACCTTCAGACCATCCCTGCCCCATCAGTGGATGTTTCCCTTTGTCACCCAGACAGACTGCAGACAAAGAGTGTCTGTGTGAGACGGCAGGGAAGCTGTCCCGCCACTGCTGGAGACTCATCTTTTAAGGCAGGAACTCATGCAGAAAGGATGACCCTGCTCATCACAGGGCTCTCGAGAATTCAGGTCATCAAACAAGGGGGCCTGTGTCTGCTTGGGTACGTGCCACCTGGTGTCCCAGCTCGCCCAGCCTTCCAGCTTCTCCTTGGCTGAAAGGGAAAGGGGGTCCTCCTGCCTGTGTCACTAGCCTGCACTGACTCATCATGGGAACAGAACAGGGAAAGGAGTCTGGGGAAGCATGAACAGCTCTGACTTGGAGCTGGGCTTCACACTTGCTCCAGGAAAAGCAGGGACTTCCCCGAGCTTTATGGCAATCCTAACCCTGTGCTATTACTGAGAGCTTCCTTTTCTGCAAGGCAAACCAGTGGCTTCAGACACTGCCCAGCATACCATGAGCAGGGCTGAGATGTCCCTGCCTGGTCATTCCTTACCTTATCAGCAGAACTAAAGAAGCTCATGGAGAGCTGGGGCGACCACACCAGGACACAAAGACTGCAGACCTGGTGTAAACTTCCCACCGCAGCCCAGGCTGCGCAGCAGGCACCGCGCTGACCCCTGTGCCGCTGGCCACCCGCACCGGGTGACAGCCAGCTGGAGCAGGGCACTGCTGGCTCCCGGTCTGGGAAGTGCTGTGCACCCAGCGTGACAGGGACACCACAGCTCCCAAGAAATGGCACATGGTGTGCAGGACTCATCTCCACGTGCCTCAAGGTGCATGCAAGTCCCACGTACAGGAAATCCCTTGTGGCAGAGCCCAAACCCCCACGGCCGCTCTCCTCCCCGCAGCACACAAGGGATCTGCAAGCAGAGCATCCCCCGGCCACCCTCTCTGAGCCACGGCAGCACAACGTGTCCATAGCCCGAGCAGGGCGTGCAGCGAGCGCGCCCAGTGCTCGGGTCTTACCCCGCGGCTCGCACGGCCGCCCGCGGAGGGGAGCGAGGGCGCAGCTGCCCGGCAGGAGCGCGGAGCAGCGGGCGCGGTCCCGGCGGGGCAGGCACTTGTTGAGCGCGGGGCCGCGGGGCCCGGCGCGGCGGGCAGGGCCGGGCGGTGCGCTCCTTACCTTCCCGGCGGATCATCGCTCCGCCGTGGCCGACGGCCGCTCCGCTCCGTGCCAGCCCGCGAGCGGCCGA